AGAAACTGTATTTACAAAAGCAAGACTACCACAAGATAGATTTACCTGTGTGTAGTCAGCAAATGTTTAGTACTTAGGCACTTCTACATAATTAAAATAAAAGACTGAGCAAGACAGCAGCATGCCATCTTGCTCCATATATAAAAGGCAGGGGACTTTTATACAGTAAATAAGAAAAGTACAAAATGCGTTGAAAGGTGATGCACACTGTGGAAGAAGAAAAGGTAGAGAAAGTGAAGGTTACTGTGATTGTCAAGACATGGACACACTGAGGCTTCTGTATCACAGAAAGTCCCTTTTTCTGAGCAAAATGGAGAAGCACTGGAACTGGTCTACATGTACTTAATATGGAAAGGAAAGGTACAATCTGTCCCATATCTGCTATGAAGAGAGTGTAAAGGCTACAGTAGAAACAAGAATACACAAGAGGCTGCTGCCATTAGACACTTGAGAGAAATTAATGATAGAGGACCAATGGAACCAGCAGGCTCTGCTTGTCCAACTCATTGAAATTTACAAAGTGCACATGAAAATTACATTTATTCCTGTGTATAATCCATAGGATCACTTATAAGGGTGTGGCATTGTTGGTGATTGGGTTCTATGATGCTGTTTTCCTATACAGATGAAATTTTATCCATTAAACAACAGTTCTTCCATACCCCTCAAGTATGTGGGATTAAATTAAGTACAAAAGAGAGTAACAACTCTTACAATTATGCTTGTCTCACACCTGCTTATTTATCATTATTGAAGTGTTATTCAATTCTTCATAGATCTAAAAGTTATTAACTATCAGCCTCAACATGCAAGCTTTCCTCAATTATTCTTACAGAATGGTAAAATAGAAAAAAAAACTCCATCTGTATTTGTTTATCAGAGACTACCTTCATTTTTGCCACCATTTTGGGGGTAGGAGTTCACTTACTATAACATCTATAACATTCTTAGGATTCTTGTTTGGCACTCATTTTCATTGTCCATAAAGTTGATTTTTCATGTTTGCTGTTCCCTAAACTGATAAGCTCTTTATTTAAACATTATATCTACATATATTTAAAAAAACAGAAAAATGCTGTAGTTTTCCATTTGAGAAAAGTCATCATTTTTCCCCAATTTTTATTTGATTTCATGAGTTTTTAATTCATGTTTGAGGTCAAATTTCTGGGTATTCTATGACAGTATGTGCTAAATTTATAGTGAAAGAACCTCCTAGGTCTAAGCAGTTACCCACAATAGGTACAGAAAAAAATGTTCATTCAAGTATTATTATAGTTTGAAAGAAAATATCACCAAAGGCTCATGTGTTTGAATGTTTGGTCAGTTTCAGGTTGTTGAAAATGGTTGGGAAAGATTAAGATGTGCACCTTGTCAAAAGAGATGTGTCAATTGGGGCAAGCTTTGAGGTTTCAAAAACCCACAAAATTTCTAGCCCAACCCGCTCTTCTCTGCTTCATGGTTGTGTCTAAATGCTAGATCTCAGGCTCTGCTCCAGAACTGTGCCTGCCTGCCTGCCTGTCTGCCGTCATTTCTCCCTGCTATGATGGCCAAGGATTCTAACCCTTTGAAACCCTAACCCCCCCAAAATCTTTCTTTTATAATATGCCTTGGTCATGGTGTTTTATCACAGCAACAGAATGACATCCTGGTTTTTCCTGATGTCCACAGACATGTACACATGAGCCTCCTCCAAAACACACACAGACACACACACACACACACACAGAGAGAGAGAGAGAGAGAGATAGTAAAACTTGTCTATATTTTAAATAAGTTCTCTGATGTTACTGAGAACATATAGAAAGTAAGAATTTATTACAATATGGACTAGAGAGATGGATCAGAGTTAAAGAGCTCTGGTTGTTCTTCGAGAGGACCCATGTTCAATTCCCAGTACACACATGGCTGTTCACAACTGTCTGTAATTCCAGTTCAGGGGATCTGACACCTTCACAAAAATGCACATAAAATAAGGTTAAATAAATTATTTAAAAAGAAGGTATTACAGGGAACCTTCCTTGTAGAGAAGGCAGTGAAAATGCAATCTCATTTCTTTTTGCAAGATTCCTAAATACACTTACATAAATCTTGTCGCCAAAATATTAAAAACTGTCTATTAAAATTATCTGATAACATGGCCTATTTTCCCTAAATTAAATCAATAAAAAATGATAGAGCTAGATAAGTCATTATTAAAATGCTTCAACAGCATTCTTATACTTCTTATAATTTAAGATATTAAACTTCTTTCAATTCCTTGTAGTGTTCAACTAAGTCAGCAAATCAGCTTGAAGTTGGAGACTAATTGAAACAAAATCTATCTGAGAAAGGTCATCTAGTAAAGTCATGATAAGGTCATTTCCCCTAAGATTTCCCATAGTTCTTTATTGCCCTTTGTTTGAAAGGACTGTGTCATCCACACCTTAATTACTGGTGCAAACAGACAGCAGGCATCAAGGGAGACTCTCTGATCTACGAGAGTCTCAGAGAACCTTGCATAAAGCAGGTCATTATGGAGAGCCCATTCACAAAGGATTAGTCACATTTTAATATCTAAGATTAAATGTTATAGCCATGTCACTGCTTAGTGTTTCACAGTATCCCAACATATCATGATAACTAAGCTCAGTGAATGTACATCAGTGAAATTTCAATGGCTAAAATGCAATTTTTCTAATATTCTGTGAGACGTTTCAGTAAGTTCTCAGAGGAAATCAATATATTGTAATAAATATAGAGAACTTTGAAAGGATTATAGAGAATAATAAGATGGGGTGTGTTTTGGAAATATGATTTTATTATTGAATTATAAAATCCAAATAGGCTAACATTGATAAGTGACTTAACAGAATAGGATTAGTTAGATAACCCCTTTCATGGTATTCTCTTTTGATAAAGGTATCTAGCGTTCTCATCTATGTGGTCAATAAATGGAATAGATATTGACAGAAAATATTAAAAGTGCCTGCAGCCTATTCAGCAATTTAAAAGACTGGGGGTTTTCTGAAGTATGAGTTGTCATGAGACTACTTTATACAGTATAATCATTAGTGATATCACCTATCGAATTCTTCCACATTGTATGTGAAAAGTAACACAAACGCATAAGCATAATCACTCAAATAAAAATATAATGATTCCAAAAATGAAACAAAATATGTACTAAAAATCTCCATCAGTAGCAAAAATATTGTTTTAAAAAATCAACAATCTTCCAGGTTTCTGATCTGCAGCATAAATATCACATATTTTGTGGCATTCCAACACTAGTCTTAGCTTAAACATTCTGATTCCGAAACACCTAAGTAAAAAATTTCCAGTGGTTTGGAAATCTTCACATTAATTAGGAAATTATACAGCACATAAAATGTGAACGTGGATGTCATGAGGAGGCCTCAGCATTCTTTGGGGCCTTGGGCAATAGATCAGTATTTATCCCTGGCATCCAGATAGACTTTGGAATCCCATTCCACGTGGAGGGATGCTATCTCAGCCTGGACACCTGGGGAAGGGACTAGGCCCTGCCACAGATGATATGACAGACTTTGAAGATCCCCCATGAAGAGCCTCACCCTCCTTGGAGAGTGGAGTGGGCATTGGGTGGGGTCTTGGGGAAGGTTTGAATGGGAGCAGGGGAAGAGGGGAGGGAGAGGGGGCTGGGATTGGCATGTGAACAAGCTTGATTTTAATTTAAATAAATACATGTTAAAATTATTATGTGGAAAAAATGTGATGCTACATATTATCCTTGTTTTAATAGTTGATATTTTGAATCAATTATGGACACATATTCAGCACTAACAATACACACAATTAAAATTAACAATGCACACATTCATGTCTCTGAATGCCTTTTATGTTGTCACTGACCTTGGGCCAGAGGTGAAAGAGAAAATTTTCATTGTCATGCTTTCACAAATCCTGAATGACAAGTGTTATTCCAAGAGACAGTTTGAAGTCATGCCATATTTATTTGAAGATTAAGAAAAGAATCCTCTTTTTGAAATTATAAGCAGTTAATAAAAACTACGAATACTTCCTTCATAGTCTACATTGCTATGCAACAAAACCCTTCATGCACTCTCATATGATGGTCCAACTTGATATTCACATTCACAAAAATTGAATAACATTTATGAAAAAACATATTCCAACTGATCATGCATTTCTTCCAACAGACGGTCTGGTTTAATAAAATAAAACCAAAACTTATTTCCTCCTTAAAATATCATCTGAAAGCCAAATTTTTGGTTTGTTGATATAATAGCTTTTTCAATATTTTAGGTGATTATAAACAAAGTATTTAACTTAATTATATTTATTATAGTTTATCATATTATTTATTGTAGTTGGTAAACCATAGCATTCATTTTTGTTTTCTTTATTTATTAAGATAATTACATGATCTTGGCTTCAGATTCACTCATTAGAAAGTATATCATTTGCTTGATTTATTTGAACTATTTTTAGATTTTTGCTGTTTCATCCACTTAAATTAATTAATATTATCCATGAAACCCTGTTAATGAATGCTTCATTATATTATAACCAATAATTTATGACTACAAATGAAAGTTGTATTACACTTGAAACTATCATAATTACTTTTTAAATTGATTATAAAAGACAAGAATGTAAAATCAAGAGACTAGTTACACTGTTTCCTGGATATCTGGTTATAACAATTCTCTGGAGATTAGCTAATCCTGTGCATTTTCTATCCTCTTTTAAAGTAAGAATATATGTATACTCCAAAGAAAACTTCATAATGTGGTGTGCATAACTGTACAAATTGCTAAGTCACTTCCATGATGAATAAACGATTAAAACATATTATTATGCGTTTCATATTGAAATAGAAATGCACTGGCACCATGTGTTTGCATATATTTATATAGCAAGCCATTATATGTTCATCTCAAAAGAGGCCGTGAAGACCAAGATGGTTATCATTTTTTGTGCAGACACACTGAGAACAAAGGAAAGGCTTCATGCAGTACCTTTGGGTATTGTTTAACAGGAATCAATACTCTTTCAGAAAGCTTTATGTTTTTGTTGCTGATGACATCAAGATACTTCTTTTCTTCGTCTTCCTTTTTTCCATCTGAACCTTGAAATTTCTCAATTTCTAGAAAATACAAAACCAAATACCAAAATAAGTGAAATGAAAAATAGGTCACCATAGTATGATGACTGTTCCTACTATTCCACATAATGTTTGGATAGTTTTGATAAAGGCTGAAACTGCAACATGCAAACAGCTATATGGGTACTACTCCAAGGCGACCTCTGCCAACAGTAACTAAAAGGTGATAATGCAATGTGACTTCAGCTGCTGTGAACAAAATGATGCACTTAGCTGTTGTATATAGCATCTACTAAATAACAAGAAAAATATGTCCTTAGACTAACAAAAACATCTACACAAACAGTCACCTTGGCAACAGGAACTAATGCAAAGCATATCTTGACTTTAGATTATTTTGATTTTTCCTAAAGTTATTCCTAAGAAAATAAAATATTTAAAGTAGTAACCATACCAGTTCCCTAAAATACAGCAAAAATTATATGTTTTTACATTATAAACAATCTTAAAAGTGTCATACAAAGTATAAAGATGGCAATTAGTAAATGTTAAGGAAAACGACGTTTTCATACTTAAGAATGTTGCAAAGAAGTTATTATAAGTATAATTTTATAATTTATTCATTCTTTCATTTTAATATTTTCATTAAAAATGTGGATCTCTACTATGCTTCCCAGAGACAGAATAGAAAACAAAAAGGCCTTGGTTTCATAGCATGTGTATCCTAATGAGTAAAACAAACAAATGAGTAAATGAGTGGGAAGAGAAAATACACACCACAAAACAACAAAAGGTATTGATGAGAGTAGAGTCAAGAGACTCAGTCTGAGCTTAAGGCTTGTTAGAGTGAGTCAGTCCAGGTCCTGTATATTAAAGAAGAGTAAGACATGAGGAGAAAAGAAATGCTGGCAGGTGAGCAAAGAGCAAGGTGTTTGGTGGGAAGATATAGAGCAGAATTTAAGGTTCTGCAGGACAGGAGATGATTTCTGAATTTGTGTGTGTGTGTGTGTGTGTGTGTGTGTGTGTGTATGTGCACGCATGTGCGTGCATGTGTGCGTGCATGTGTGCGTGCGTGCGTGAATATAAGCAGAAGCCAGCCTCACCAGTGCTGGGCTTACCAGACTCAGTGATTTAGATTAATTTACCTGGGAAGTGATGCTGAGGCAGATTAACAGGGCAGGAAATAGATGGTAAAGTAAAGGCCTAATTGAAGCTGGAGTCATTCCCTACAAGTGATCATGGGAAAGAGATGTATTTGGGATATAGAAAAACTGTTCTCATTATTTTTTATAAGTTATTATCACAATATCACCTGTAAATAATAATTCTCTTGTTTTTCTGCTAACTTTATTGTCCCCAAACACCAACTAGTGCAATTATAAAGGGGAATGTTTCTTACTTTTTGTTAGAGGTGCATCAAAACCTTCTGTACATAGTGTTGTGTGGAGTGAAAAAGGGAAAATGGGCATTAAGATGGGCGCTGATATATATGTTAATTCAATGACTTTTAATATCTGGCTATTTGCAAACCTATAAAATAAATACTGTATTCATCATTCAAAAGTCTCTAATGAATACTATACTGATTATTAATCTTTTCAAACTTACATATTTACAAAAATGGTCTCCAAAAGCTTACAGAAAAACTACTTAGCATTCCCATCGTAGGTCTGTTGACTTCCATCTTGTCTAGTGTAAACTTCTGCAACCTTTTACATTGCTTATGTAGATACTGCCTGGATCAAAGTTATCTGGAAGAGTTTGAATATGTGTATTGACTTCAGCAATTACACACTAAAATTTCACTCAAGCCAAGTGGCTTACTGAACAAAACTATTTAAAAATAAGTTAAATATGTACTGGTTACTACTTAGCATGTTGGTACTGGGTTTCTATTGTCCTACTTCAGTATTAAGTGTCATCAGTATATTAAAGAGCTAACTTCAAATTGACTGCTATATGATGCCCAAGAAGCTCTTTCTTCAGATCTTTCCCTACCTTATATCCTTTTACAACCAGAACTCTGGCAAGGACAAGTAAATGCTCTCCATTACCTACTCTGCGATGACAATGAACCCCTGATCAATGTCCTCGGTCCTTGCACCTTCTGAGCACTTTACTTGCTTTTCTGTGGAGGGAACTGTAACATGAGACACACTGAAGCTCAAGCTGGTCCCAATCTGATACTTGAATAGCTTCTTTGTCATTCTGTCACAATAAGAAAGCGAATTTGTCTGACATTCTATGCTTCCCCCCAAGAAACTTTAAGTTAGGCTTTTTTAGGCACTTAGAATTTTGTCATTCTATGGTTAATTCTAATAATGTTCCTATCAAGAAGCAAAGATAAATGAAATCCAATTTCCACTGCTCTTTCTGTTAAATTCTGCAAGTTCCCTTTGAAACTCTTGCTCTTTCTTTTGGCCTCATGACAGATTCACAGAGTCACCTTTTCTTCCCTGACTTATCTGCGTGAGCAATAGCTCAATAATTACATGCCAATTGCAGTGCCCCAAAATGGTACAGCCAAACCTTGCCTGGTTTCAAAAGCAAAGAATTCAAATTTATGCAGCACAATTTCCTATTTTAATTTTTGTTTGCAATTATTTCCTCTCATATATTTAAAATAATTGTCCAAATTTTTACCCTTTAGTTAATTAGTAATGGACAATGGATTGAGTCCGGCCTCATGCACACCAGGCAAATGCTCAACCACTAAGGTATATCTCCAGCCCACTTTTGTTTATTTATTTTTACTTTCACGTATGATCTTTATGATTCCACAATGTTCTGAACTCACTCTGTATTACAGTGGTCCTAAACATAAGGTAGTCTGGCATTAGCCTCCCATGGAGCTTAGTAAACAGGATTGCATCACCGGGACCAGCTTAAAGTAATTCTTTCTTTTATTTCATGATTAATACATATGCTTTCTAACATTTATAGAATACAGTTACTCATAAAATTTCAAAAGTGTCTAATTAGAGAGAGTACTGTACAGAGAAACCGAAATACTTCATATTTCCACGTAGTATCTATTTAACTGCGATCAGTACATTATGGGATATGGTAATTAATGTATTTGAGGGGATGAATTTAAATGATGTCAAAGTCCCAAATATTTAATATTTTATGCTCTCCTGCTTGGGTTTGCTAGTGAATATATTCATTTAAGAATTTCAAATGATGCCGGGCGGTGGTGGCACACGCCTTTAATCCCAGCACTCGGGAGGCAAAGGCAGGCAGATCTCTGTAAGTTCGAGGCCAGGCTGGACCGACAGCCTCCAAAACAATACAAAGAAACCCTGTCTCGTAAAAACCAAAAAAAAAAAAAAAAAAAAGGAACTTCAAAAATTAACACGTTAACACTATAGAGCTTGGGTTATGTGGAAAAGCAAGGGAACATTCTTTCACTATGTCTTCATCTACTTAATGATTGGCTGGCATCAGAAGAAGGCTGCAGAAGGAAGCAATACAAAGGATATTTTCAATTCTGGTCTTGTATTATTTCATCTATTTACAGCCATATAAATTCCTTAAATGTGATTTCCCCAAGCTTTATTTTATTTCATTAATACCTTTAGTAGTGTTAAACTGTTTTTTATATTTTAATGAAAAATGCTAATATCTAAGGCTATATAAGCAGCATAGTTATCTTCAGAATTTCTGAAATTTTATTTCTTGTTCTTAAAGTATTAATCAGCACCATTCTATAGAAATGGAGAGAGACATACTTTCTATTTTTGTTCTTATTATTTTCTTTTAAAGTGTATTTCATCTGTTAATTGATATGATAGAAATCAAATAGGGATTTCTTAGTAGGTAAAGCTTACAAAACTAATTACTGTTTTATGAAAATTATATGTATTGTCTGTTGTTGGAATCAATAGTAGGATGTAAAGGCATGAGACACCACAAAGGTACACATGCACAGAATACATCTTTGAGAAAAAAGAAAATGTGAATATTTCTTTGAAATATGCAGTCAGCATTAGAATTGTGGTTATAAATTTAATACAAAGCTAAAACAACTAAATTAATCTCTGCTCTTTGACTCTAGGAAATATAGTAGGCCCATTCTAATAAAGTATAAATGTTTCAATTACCACTAAATCCTCAAACAGCCCTAATTTTTACCAAAGGTCTAAAACATACTTAAAAAAAAGAGTCACTCTAAGCAATGATGTTGGAATGGCAGGATACAACGTACAAAAGAGTGAAAATGATCCCCACTATAAAAAAAAGTTAAGTTAGAAGGAATCAAATATCTCAATGTAAGATGTGTAACTCTGAAATTGCTACAGTTAAAAAAAGGCAAGAGTAAAATTCTAAAAAAAAATAAATGCCATTTGTTTTGAAGTTATTATCATAGGCTAAGATGTCCAGGAGTAGATGTTAGTAGTTCAGAAAATAATATCAAAAATTCATTTGCTAAATTTCATGAAATTGAATAGAGTGCTGGGAAAGTAACATACCTGCTAAACAAACATGAGGTCCTGAGTGTGGATTTCCTCCATCATGGTAATGCTGGGTAAGTTGGCATACAAGTGTAAGTCCAGCATTGGAGGATGGCAAGGAAAAAATAGGCAGGAAGTGGAGGTTTACTTGCCAGTCTGTGTAGCCAAAATGGTGAAGTAAATCTTAGTGAAAGATGCTGTCTCAAAATATACTGGAGAAGCAATTGAGGACATTTCCACAATCTCTGGATTCTTGCATGTACATGGATGAGCAAGCTCGACCACATATATTCATAATATACCATATGTTACATACTACAGAGAGAGGGAAAAGGAGCTAGAGTGAGAGGAGAAGGAAGAGGTAGAGGGAAGAATGAAGGGAGACAGAGAGAGCAAAGATGGGGAGAGAGAAGGAAGAGGGAGGGAGAGGAGAGAGGAATGGAGGGAAAGAAAAGATAAAGAAGGCTAGGAGGGAGTGAGAGAAAGTAGGCAAGGAGGGAGAGAGAGAATATTAAATGTTCCGGGTTTGGCCTGACAGTTGCTATTATGGACACTAAAAATTCTTAGTGTGAAGGGGCTTGATTTGTT